TCTCCCCCTGGTGGCTGACTGTGTTTTTACTAACCTGAGATAAGATCAGATTAAAGTTAGTTAATTTACTTCTGTGACACCAAACTGATAAATCCGATGGATCTTATTTTAACTTCATAAAGTTTCTGTAATATGGCCTCAGATCTTCTTCCTGTCTGATTGCGATGAGTCGACTCACTCGTCTGTTAATGACAGAAATAGAAAGAAAGCAGTGCGATAAAGTCACTCTGAAGACGACTATAGTGCATATTTAAAGCCAGTGTGCAGCATATAAAACATCCCGGCAGCTCAGACGGTTCTTCAGCTGCATTGTGGGTAAACAGCCAGGACTACAGTGCATTATCACAAACTGAGCACCTGAAAGAAAAATGAAGGCGAGTAGAAATGGAGATGAAGGTCTGTGAGCACGGTATCTGGAGATGACCGGGCATTGAACACAGGTTGGTAGTACGCGTTCAAACTTGTCTCAGTTGCTCGGAGGGACTGTGGACACCCAGGACTCACTGTCAGGTGTTCAATATGACAGCGCTGCAGTGCATTATGGGCCTCAGTCTGAGTGTTTGATTAAAATAATAATGGAGGTGAGTAGAAACGGAGGCGATGAAGGGCTGTGAGTGTGGTCAGTGCAGGTCTTTGAAGGGTTTGGGGTAGTTGAACATCAGGTAGTCCATGTAGTAGAAGTCGAAGGCTTTCTGCCGCTCTGTGGAGTTCAGCTGCGCAAAGTACCTCTGGGTGATTGTGGAGGAAGTCCTCTCCGCCAGCGGGTTCCTGTCTTTGAAGTCGGGGAAGGTGAGGTTCCTCGGCGCTCCGATGGTCTGCAACAGGAAGTTGGCTTCTTCTTCCAGGCTCTCGAACTTCCCGATGAAGTTGTACCTGAGGAGGCAAGGGTTGCACAACTGGCTGATGGGCTCCCAGTGGATGTCCATCCCCACCGGCCGCCGCACATCCAGCAGGTACTGGACAAACTCCCTGAAGGTGACGCCAGCGCCGGTGCGCAGGGCTGTGCGTGTGGCGTTGGCGCGGTATCTGGAGATGATCGGGCGTCCGAACACGGGGTGGTAGTAAGAGTTTGGACTCTCAAACTTGTCCCGAAACGCAGACACAAGCCGCTCGAAGGGCTCCCTGACGAACAGCACCTTGGTGTAGGAGCGCAGTCTCTCGGTGATACCAGTGCGGCTGTAGCTCTCCAGCCGCCGCAGGTGGTTGCCGTAATGTGCTGCGTCGTGAGGAATGTCTTGCGTGGAGGTGGCGCTGCCGCCCAACACCATCAGCACCCGCTTCCAGTTGGAGCAGCCGGCTTTGGGCACCTCGCAGTACAGCAGCCGGGATCGGTCCTCCACGTAAACCCGGGACACTTGCCGCTGAGAGACACGCCGCTCAGTAACACCTGGCTGGTATTTGGCGCAGACGTTGGCCAGCAGGCGGCGCCGGGACTCCTGCGTCCACGCCAGCTGCTGCTGCCGCTCCTGACGGCCGGCGGGGGCACTGGAAGCTGCAACGCTGCTCTTCAGAAGGAGCTTCCTGTGACGTTTGGTGACGGGCTGTTTGGAGCCGACTGACGAGTCTTCAAATGGAGACGAGACTTTAAACTTTACTGCAGCAACGTCGTCTTCAGTCTGCACGGCAGCAGCTGAGCTGTCCGTCACCAGATGGTCCTACAACACAGAGACAGACAGACTCTTTGAAAACCTGCGTTTGTGTGCCGAACTGCAGACGGAGGGCAGGAAGTGGATTTCGACTTTAATCAAAAACTGTCTAAATGTTTTCTTTACGTTTGCTCAAATCAAACTCAGAAAAAGGAGCTTTTATGTAAAAGTTGTTCTGTGGGTCAGCAGCAAAACAAGGCCTATTTTAAAAATCTATATCAGTTTCAGTGTACGCTAGATTTAAAATATTTATATTTTAATTGTTATATCCATCTATGCTCTCTTTAAAGCCACCAGACTTTGATAAGAACACAGAGTTTCTGGTGTCCTGCTGCCTCGATCTGCAGCGACTAACGTTAGTCTGGATGAATGTGTTTAAACACCAAAGTCACAGTAACACCAACAGACTGACAGACGGAGGCAGAAACTGTAGAATTACTGTTTTTATCAAAGGAGTCTGGTGATATAACAGACATCTTTGAATTCAGCTGAAAAATGTCTCCAGAATGGTTTAAACTTTCCTCCATCTGAGTTTCTGACTGCAAACAAGAGATTAAAACCAGAAAATAAGATCTTATAATCTTTTGTGAACCGTATTTGTTTGGTTTCACTAGGGGCTCGTCCGGGATTTGATCCCAGGACCTCCTCCAAACAGCTGCAGTGACACACTTTCCTTTAAAAAGATGAAAACTGCAGATGGATCATGTCCTTAAACCATTTGTTTATTTAATATAATATAAAAACTCTTGAGACTAAAATTAATAATCAGATGTTTATAATAAATGTTTAAAGAAATAAATGTATAATAATGTGTCTGCAGGGATCTTCAGACAACATAAGATCAGGTTTCCTCCATGTTTCACTCACAGAAACTCTGAAACACTGTAAATATTGACAGTGTGCAATGTTTCATATTAATCACATCTGTATATAAAAAGCTGTCTGCATATAACTCTTATTCTATTTTTTAGATTTTCACTGAATGTGTTTTATATTAAGATATAATATTATATCTGTTATATCTGGAGCTGCTGTAGTTTACTTTACTAGTGTCACTGGATCATCTGAGGACCAAAATCTACAACGTGATCAGAAGGTAACTGATGTGTTTGTAATGCTCCAGATGTCCAGCAGGTGTCCCTGTCTGTCCACCTCTAACCACTGTGTGTGTGTGTGTGTG